GGAGGGGGGGGGGGGAAGGAAAGGAAAAAAATAGAGAAAAGCAAGAGAAAAACAAGAGTAAAACAGAAGAAAAAGAGAAAAAAACAAAACATAGAAAAGAAAAAGAAAAAAGAAAAAAAGAGAGGAAAACAAGAGGGGGAAACAAGAAAAAAAGACAAAAGAAAGAGGAGGGAAAAAAAAAAACAGACCCTTTTTCGTTTTTTTTCTTTTCTTTTTTATTGAAATTACGCTATATCCTAATGAGAGACTTGTAGAGAAGAGAGAATATAGCATCTATCCTTTCTCGTCTTCGTTTCTCTCCTCCTCTACCCCCCTCCCCCACCCCCCCGCGCCCCCCCTTTTCTTTTGCCTTGCCTTTTTGCTTCGTTTGTTTATCGTCTTACATTGTATTCGCCTTTCGACTCTTATAGGTTTGATGATAACATGGAAGTCGATAGAAGGACCCAAAAAAAGAGAAATAAATGGAATCCGGAAAGAAGAAGAAAGGAACGAAACCGGTACTACAACCTTTTTGACCAAATGGGGCAGGCAAGCGAGAAAGACAAAGCTGATATAAGTGGGAACGATCACGATGGTGATGGTGATGGTGATGGTGATTATGAAAAGGATGAAGAGGATGAAGAAGATGAAGAGGATGCAGTGAAGTTGGGGACGATGATGATGAGATGAAGATGATGATGATAAGATGTGGATGATAACGTTTGGCAGTGCTGGGTCTTTCCTTCCATAGATGATGACGACGATGGTGATGAGGATGGTGATAATGGCGATGATGAGGATGGTGATGGTGATGGTGATGGTGATGGCGATGGTGATGGTGCTTCCATAGATGATGACGACGATGGTTATGAGGATGGTGATAATGGCGATGATGGTGATGGTGATGGTGATGGCGGTGGGTTCGACCTTTGGCAGTGCTGGTTTTTTCTTCCGCAACTGATGAAGATGGTGATGGTGATGGGGTTTTTATATAATGTAATAATTATATATCGGCAAAAAAATATCAGAGCGCAAAAGCGAAAAAGAAGAACAAAATAAAATCATTTTTTTTTCTTCCTTACAGCTCCGCCTGTTCAGAACCTCTTGCGTGCAAGGCCGCTGACGTGGATGTAGGTTGAGCGGCGCCCCCCCCCCCCCCTGTGTCATATCGACCCACTTGCACACAGCCAAACGGCATACAGGCAAGGAAACGAGGAAGGGAACAGCCAAATACAACAAAACAGGGGCCAACAAGCAACAGTACCAAAAAAAACGGATCCTAAATGACAAGTCCCACATGCAAGCACCGCCCCTCCCTCCTTCACAGGCCACACGACGGACAAGAAGACCACCAAGAACATAACACTCTTCTCTGCAAATACAAAGGAATCGCAGATACAGATCTATACACAGCAGATGGCCTTATTCGTCATCAAGAAGTTGGTATTCCTATATACCACCACGACTTCGCTGGCACCCTGCTACGGTTTTCTCCGGTCAGGTCGAGCGGCAGTGGTCGGGATTTGGACCGTCACTACGCGGCCGTGCTGTGCCTCTAGTGTGCCAGCGGCGTGTCCGGAGTGTTTCCCTGACTTGTGATGGGGTGTGAACCGACAGACAGTCTGTAGAGTTTTCCATCTGGTGTGGGTGAGTGATGATAGTCCGCTTTGATTGATTTTCGTCGCAGGTACCTTCAAGGCAATGGTTGGTGCCGACCTCCTCAGAGAGGTATCAGTTCGTCGGGCAGTCGTTGATGCTAAACCACAGCCGGGGTTAAGGAAGGTGGGTTATCACTTACAGTGTAATCAGTTAGGGGATTCTGCTTTGCTCCCTCCACATCCATTGTCTGCTTCTCCTCCTCCTCCTCCTCCTCCTCCTCCTCCTCCTCCTCCTCCACCTTCCTTATCCGTCTGCTTCTCCTCCTCCTCCTCCCTCCACATCCATTGTCATCGCTCCTCCTCCTTCCCTCCTCATCGTCTTCCTCCCCTGCTTTGCTCCCTCCACATCCATTGTCTGCTTCTCCTCCTCCTCCCTCCACTCCCCCCCCTCCCTCCTCCACCTCCCTTATCCGTCTGCTTCTCCTCCTCCTCCTCCTCCTCCTCCTCCCTCCTCATCCATTGTCATCGCTCCTCCTCCTGCTCCCTCCTCATCATCTTCCTTCCTGCAAATATTTCGACTTTTCACTTTTACAAATTCCGACTTTCTTTTCTGTTTGCTCAACCTCTTGTGTGCGCCTCCTCCTCCCTCCCAGTACTCCCTCCCCCCCCTTCTCACATTCCCATCTTCCTTTTCCTTTTGTTCTACACGTGGTAGCCAGGGATAACACAATGACACGTCATCTACCTAAGAAGGAAGGAGGAGCTACTGGAGTAATGAGATCAAGACCTTGCGGATGGGAAACGACCATTACGACGATAATGATAATGACGATAATGAGAATGATGATGATGATAATGATGATGATGATAATGATGATAATGATGATAATGATGACGATGATGATAATGATGATGATAATGATGATGATGATGATGATGATAATGATGAGGATGATGATGATAATGATGAGGATGATGACGATAATGATGATGATAACAATGTCAACGACGATGAGATGGACGAGAAGAGAAGGCGCGGGGGAGCGGTGGAGGAGGAGGACGAGGAGGAAGAAGAGGAGGAGGGAACGAGGCGGAGGAGTAGGTCTGGTTAAGTACGATAATGCGTAGGAGAAAATCAGACAATGACGACGATAAAGATGACAACGATGATGATGATGATGATGATGATGATGATGATGATGATGATGATGATGACGACGATGATGATGATGAGGAAGAGAGAGGATAAGGCGAGGGGGAGCGGAGGAGGAGGAGGATGAGGAGGAGATGGGGAGATGGGGACAAGTACGACGACCGGAAGAATATAGAGCGTTAGATGGATAACGACAACAACATCGACGGTGGGAGAGAAAGAGGACGAGCATGTAAGCTATGGCCGCTTCAATTGAAGTGTCGATCGGGATCCCGGTTCTCTCATCTTCTTCGTCTTTCCGGCTTCGTCATCCCCCCCTCCTACCTCCTCACTTTTCTCCTCCTCCTCCTCCCTCCTCACTCCCTCCCTCTCTCTCTCTTCGCACTTCCTCGCGGTCTCATTTTTCCTTCCTTCCTCAGTTTTGGGAATTGTTCCGAATACTTTCCTTTTCTGGAAATTCTACTACCCGGCGAAAAATCCTCTCTACGGAATACGATTTCCCAGATTCCATAAAAGCTCTTTTTTCGTATTTACCCAAGAAAAAAAAAACTCTTCCTACATGATCGGATCGGATCGCCTCTCGGAAGTGCTAAGAAAAACGGGAAGCAGTGCTAATAAGTAGCAGGAGCTGGAACCAAAAAAAAAAAAAAAAAAAGGCAGCAGGAGGAGGTAAGGTAGAACCGCGGTTGAAAAGATCCTTCCTGAGCCTGAGATACTAATGACCATCATTCCACTGCAGCACCGTTCTCATCCAAATAGAACGCACGGTCATGATCGCTGCATATAGCCTGAAAGTTGCCCCAAATTCATCTATACTGACCGGGCGTTCTATATTCGTGTGAAGACGGTACTTACACACTTCTTGCTCTTTCTCTCTTCGTTTCCTCTGTGCCGCCTCCTCCTCCTCCATCTTTCCCCTCCTCCTCCTCCTCCTCCTCCTCCTCCTCCTGCTGATCCTCCAACCATCTTCCTTCTCCTCTTTCACAACCGGGAATCCTCAATGAACATCACCGGAGAACATGGAAAGAGGAGAGGGAGAGAGTATCAGATAATACTGTAATACTGTATGATAGGAGAAGGAAATGCCAATCCTCGTGATGACGATGACGATGATGAAAATGACGATCACAATTATGATGATGATGATGATCATCATCATCATCATCATCATCTTTATCATGATTAGGAGGAGGAGATGGCCCATTTTTACCTTGCTTCCATATCCTTCGCCCCCCCCCCCCTCACCTTTCTCCACCACCTGTCCCCTCCTCTTTCTCAAGCTCTCCTTCCTTGCACCCTTGCGCCCAATGTTTTGCTACCTTCTTTCCCTGAATAGAACGCACTGTCATTATCGCTGAATCTAGACTGAAATCTGCCACAGATACAGCTATAATGACCGTGCCTTCTATTCAGGACGGCACGATGACGGAGAGCTGTATATGTCACGTGCACGGCTCGGAGGGCAGAGACTCACCTCTCACCCCCCCCCCTACCTACCTACCTACCCCATTTTAGGTCTTGCTTTAGCGGAAGACGGCAGTCGGATCTTGTAGTCTGAAGATTTTGAAAAACAATATCGAGATTTTGAAAAACAATATCGAGATTTTGAAAAACAATATCGACAGATTCAGGAAAAGGTGTTCAAAAAAAAAACAATAATAATACAGTATAAATTCAGTAATAAAGCTGTTCAGACTTCGTCATTCCCTCCTACCTCCTCCCTCCTCCCTTCTATAAAAAAGGTATTGAGATAATTGAATTGTCGGACTTGTAGGGGATTTCAAGAGCTCCTGGTTATGCCCTTAACTATAGTCATTTGTCATTGTCCTCCTCCTCTTCTTCCTCCTCCTCCTCCTCATCATCATCATCATCAGCAGCAGCAGCAGCAGCAGCAGCATTTTCAGAGCATAGAGGACAACAAACGAGGGTCTGTGACAAACTGTTTCGTCCGGTTTATATATTTATATATTGTCACACTTTATATATATACATATTATATTGTAACATATACCTCTTGATGAGTCGGTGAAACTCCGACGCGAAACAGTTTGTCACAGCCCCTCGTTTGTTGTCTTCTTCTCCCTCTCTGCCTACGGTTTACCGGCCAGCTCTGTTTGACGATATATAACGGGCAGCTCTGTTTGACGATATAGATATATCGTCACATGAATATCAGAGCGCAAAAGAGAAGAAAAAAAAAATGAAAAAAAAAAATGAATTCGTTTTTTTATCTTCTTCCGTACAACTCCCCCTGTTCAGAACCTCTTAACATATTACCGCGCCGCTCTGTTTGACGATATATATCGTCACAAACAGAACTGCCCGGTAAACCGTAGGCAGAGAGAGAGAAGAGGACAACAAACGAGGGGCTGTGACAAACTGTTTCGTCGGAGTTTCACCGACTCATCAGGAGGCTGAACCCTATC